GGATGATGTGTTTGTTTGATTTACACGGGAGGGCAGTGTCACGTATTCATTGTCCAGCTGAACTGGCAGCACGAAAATTAGGTCAAAAGTCGATCTTCTACTTCCCGTTCTTATTGTTCATTAGTTACGCTGATTAAACATCAATACTCCTCATTGATCGAATGGATACGATCGATATTTGCTCGTTAGCGCACTCGTTCCTCACAAGGACACCTGTGGACGGCCTCGTTCACTAATGTCGCCGTTTCGGAATGTCCCGTCCGTGTGAGTCTGGTTTCACCACCAAACCTCAGGCTAACCGCTCAACACACTCAACGCATGACATCGCCGAACCAGAAAGGATATCGATTCTTTTATTGATTTTTTATTGATCGCTATTGTGTTCCTGTTCCATTCAGTCGAGTTCTTTCCCTATCAGAAAGCGAAATCTTGCTAGATAGCCTGCTCGGGTGAAAAACTTCTGAACGCGATGTTTCTCTTGTTGAGAATCATCCGCCCAAAGGGTGAAAAAGGACTCAGGTCGTCACTTAGTCACCAAATTGGATCGCTCTGTTTCCTTATCAATTCGTATAATGTCCTACATTGAAGTTGCCCATATTATGACGAGATTCCATCTTTTCACCATGATATTCCCGAACGATTCCGTGCGACCAATTCGCCTTCGATTCAATCGGCCCTGAAAGTGACCGCGTTTCGATTCATCTATGACTCTTTGCTTTGCGCTATACTAACGAATCATCATGGCATTCTTTCTCTGTTAACCCAGGGATGAGTCATGAATTCATCCCTACTGATGGACATTTAACCCTCTGATTCGCTCCACAAAAAGTCTGTGCAATTTATTTCTTCAAAACATTTATTGGCGCAATCGCAAAATACGGGGGCATCCTCTAGGACTAGGCTCAGGAGGGAGCACGAACTTCGGGGAGAACTATAATTGCTAACGCATTCTGGATTCTCTCCTTCTCCGCCTAAGGTTTAGTCCCGTTTTTCCCCACCCCCCCCCCTCTTGTTCTTCTGATTCCTCATTTCTTCAGCTGAGGTTAGATATATCTAATTAGCATCGAATTATGAAACAAGGAGATGTTTTACGTGGTCTTGAATGCTGTGCCAATACAGTGCCCCTTTATCTTGCGATAGCGCCCATTTACTTTCATATCATCACGATTGACTGTACCCAATTTCAGTTCACTGATTTCTGATGCCATGTAATTCCTTTATGTGCCTTTTTTCTTGAAATGGATGCAATAGAATTTTATTAGGTAACAAATAAAATGCAACCGCTTTCGTTGAATTCATTATTTCTCTCGAGCTTTCGTTTTCTGAAGAAAGTGGGTTCAATTCGGGCTGAATTCGAGTAATACGAAGCAAAGACGTGGACCATATTGGCTTATTTCTTTCTCGTTCTTTCTTCTCTTCTTGTTCTCCTGATTCCTCCTTTCCTCAGTTGAGGTTAGATATACAGAATCAGTATCGAATTATGGCTGTATTTATTTATTTATTTATTTATTTATTTATTGACAATGCAAACTGAATCCCTCGTGTTCCTTTGAAAACGCGTGAATTAGATGAAGCCATCATAGCTGTGCAGAAGCTATGTACTTTAGAAAACATCACAAAAGGTTCGTTCTTAATCAAACCCCGCCTTTCTCTCGTATCCAATACTCCCTGCTCTGGGTCGACCGTATTGGGATTCTCTTAACGAGGGTATGGGAGAAAGGGTATGGGAGAAAAATTGTCGTGTTTCTGGAGAGCCATGGAAAGAAGGAACTTTCATGGAGCTGGGAAGTTTTCCACAAAATTTGGAGAAAATTCGAAAATTCTTACTTCCCTGACTTTGAAGTTTTTAATACCCTTCGCATCATTGCTCCATACGCAATTTTGCCCTTTTGGGACGAAGGGGTAAAATGAAACATCGACCCACATATGGATATCATGGGCAGTTGGAAAGGGTGGTTTATTCGACTTCTGCAAGGTCTTCTAGGTTCGGAATTTTTACCAACGTGACCGTTCGTCCTTCTCCTGACTAGGGTCGATCCTACCGTTGGTACTTTTCGAAATTTTTACGACCCCCTTCTTCCAATCAAAAATTTCACGACCCCCCTTCACCACCCTCGCCATCATGGTCGCTGTTTCTATAGTATTTAATTCTGAGACCCAGTCGACACACCTAACTCCACCCACTTTTCCCTCCAAAATGAACATCAAGCCCGTCGAGCGGAGAGGAGGGGGGGGGGGGGAGGTATATACATACATCAAACGCAAAAATTTTCTCGCTGCTCACACTACGCGCCCTAAACTCACCCAGCCAATTATCCATGTTCTCTCACGCAACACTCCAGTTTCACATGTGAATTCATGAGGCTAGAGCGAGTACGACCCCCTCCCCACCTACAAACTCAACAAAATACAACCCCTGCGTTGGTACTTGTCGCAACATAGGATTGAACCTGCTCCTGACCCCGGGCTGACCATAATCGTTCTCACATCAAAATGTTTTCAAAAGTCCTAGAAAGAAAAATTCCAAATTCCTCCATCTTCGACTTTTTGTTATCACCACAATTTCACTGTATGCGACCCCAGCATTAGCATAACCTCGCCTACTTATAAAAACAAGCTGTGATGAAGTTTCCGAGCAGCCGTCCTATTCGCTTTCAGATCATTTCGTCACGTCATTAGGCGGGTCAAGGTCGAATTCACTGCTTTATTGTTGCAATTGATTCCCTGGCATCAATTCGGAGACGCGTCATCGCATCTTGTTCACCTGACTGAATTATCCCCAGGGATAGATAAATGCATAAGAGGTGGCTTAAAGGGTTCGAAATAGGGAATAAGTAAAGAATAGAAAAGTAAAGGATAAAACTATAGCTGACAAGCTATGGTAAAAATACCATGAAAAGCTGAGTTGGAATGAAATGGTGCCCCTGGTAGCGCACTTGCCCGGAAAGCGAGAGGTGCGGGTTCTAGTCCCGCCTGGGGCGAAAGTTTTGTTCACAACCCAGCATTCTTGTGAAATAAAACTGTATTAGTTAGAAAATTTTCGAAGATCGGAGAAGAGCATCAGACCAGGAGGAATTGGTACCATCTTCATTCATTTATCAACGGACGTGCAGTTAGCATGAGAAATAATGACAAAAATGTAGTAGTTTGCTATCGCAAAACAGGGAAGGAGTCCTTAAGGGCCAAGCGTAGAAGGGGCAGGAGCTACGGGAGACATTAAAATTGCTCACACATCTTAGAGCCTATCCTCAGGCCTTAGTCCCTTTCTTAAACGAAAAAGAGATCTCTTACGCGGTGCACTAACACCACAATGCCACCGTATCTTGCGATAGCGCCTGTAATACTTCAAATGTGACAGCAAACAATTCTACAAAACGAATCGAGCCCAATTAAATCAGATATACTTCGTGGACTCGAATTTTTGAAACAGTGTATTTAGATCGCGCTCGCGCTCCGCGCGCACAACAATTAAAACACCAGTGCGCAATTTGTTAGGTGAAGAGTGTGACCTGACCTGCGATAGTACAAAAGCGGTTGAGGTCGCAGCTAAAGTGCTCCTCGTTGAAATGAATATTTGTGAAAATTTTGGGAGCGTTGAGGTTTTTTTTCTCGGTCAAGAAATTCAGAATTTCGTATGCCATTGGAAGACAGTCTGTTTCTCCTCCATGAGAGAGATTCCATGTAGAAGGCTTTGTTTCGCTAGAAACCACAAGGAATATCGCGATAGTTGCACGGAGGCGCGGAAGCATTAGTTCTGCACTCTAAAAATCGATATCGTTCTTCTTTTAGAAAACGCTAGCTCCCCATTCGGGAATGCGGCGAACTAGAGCTTGGAAGCTTTCTACAAAATGCCGGGATCATTTGCACAAATTACTTTGAAAAAATTGAAAATCCTACAAAAGGCTTCTAACGCTGGTGATCTGGGAGGGAAACGTTTAGTTCTCTTCCTGGGGTCAGTCATTAGAGCTGCGCGATCATTGAAGCTAAGGTTAAGCTTGGGTTTAGGCTTAGGCTTAGGCTTATGCTTACACATTGGCTTATGCTTAAGCCTATGATTGGGCCTAGGCTTAGTCCTAAGCTTGCTTCGAGCAAATGAATGGTGTCTCAATTTTAGGTGACCTGACCTGAGTAGGAGAACTGCAACAGACCCGATCTGAAATTGTTGGAAAAGCCAAGAGTTCTTCTATAGGGAGCTTGGTCACGTACACGACCACCGCCCCCCCATATAGGCACACTGAAACGGCAAATTTTATCCCGCGCGCGTGCTCACCTGCCATCTAGCCTGTAATTTCGCCGTGCCACCCGAGGAAGTAGCCCCCCCCCCCCCGTTGGTACCTGTTCGCAACGTCCGGTTGACCCTGCCTTGAGATTCGTAATCCATCGAAAACAACTTGTTAATGTACACTGTGTAGAGGCTTACCATTAGGAAGAAGAACCGGTGATGAGAGGAACGGGTGTAGGTAACGGCGTGGAAAGTAGCTCAATCTGTTTGATTGGTTAGATTTAATGATCTTTGTCTTCCCATTTCGAGTTGCCCCGTCATACTGATGCAGAAACCGGTACTGTACATACCACTTGTGCCGTTGTCACCACTCAACCGATTCACAGCTGAAACCTTTCAAGCGCGCGCTTTTGTCCATTTTAATTTTTCGAAGAATCTCTCGTACACAGTTAGCGGCGAGAAACGTCATCGCCCACTTGTACGATGAGTGTTGATTGTCGCTAGCGATAAGTCGACGATTTATTTTCTTCGTGAGAAGCATCGTGTTTTGTTTATAAGCATCTGTTGGTTCTTGAGTGCTCTGCTCGGGATCACCGATCCAGCCGATCCCCCGACGCATGAGTTCTGCCGGCCGCTAATCCTGTCAGCTACTTGACCCAATTCGGCTATCTACTGCTTCCTCTAGAATTATCGTCTCACATTTTGTCGTCATTCAAGCACATAGCAATCGTTTTCCGAACGTGTCGTGGTTTTTTCAGATGTTGTCCTTGAAGCGGTTATGCTGATTCTAAGAAGAGTGCTGACCTTGGCTACAGCCATCGTCTTTGCCACAAAAGAGTTAAGAGGTCGGTATTTTTTATGTTGTATACAAAGTCCACACGTTTAAAAGGGTAAGAGTTGCGAATTACCCATTGGGACCCCAATTCAGCGTTCCCAAGTTTGCTCCTCAGGAGCTCCGACAAGCATTAGCAGCTGCTCACAACCTGGTACGCAAAATCCCCGGACATGCTTTTTCACACAGTATCCCACACCTTTCACGGCTTTTCTCTTCAATAGCCGAATCGGCGAACCATTGAGGTTGTGACCGTGTTTACACAGTCAACACCCATGCTTCGTAAACAGGGAAAGAGGGTAGGGTGAGGTAGAAGAGCTCGAAACCACGAGACATCTTTTTCTTTATCTATTGCGATCTTTGTTGTTGGTAGATTAAGGATTTGCTATTTATAACAAGAAATGATTCCTTCAACACTACTCCTCAAAAAATCCTGCCTATTTTAACCCGAGTTGCGCTCACAACAAGTCAAAATGCCACCTCTTTACAGGGATGTTCTTTACAAAGTGATTCCTTTTCACAAGTATCCCATTATCTCGAGAGCCACCCTGACCGTTGTTCAGTTTCTTATACCAACTAAGAAATGAATGCGGGAAACAGCAAAACAGAACAGTGAGCAGTCTAATGATACCTCAATTCTTTTGCTGGGAAGACCGGCGCCTTGTGGTCCACTTATATTTAGGCACTTATGGTGAACTGTTTAAGTCTCTCTAAGCTGGTGCCTCGCCACCACCTACCAGGACAATCGTTCGTCTCCAGTAATTGGCTTTGGCCCATAAGTCTATAGACACGCTGTGAAATATTAATTTTGTTTTTCTTGTTTAATAGATGGATCCGGAATAATGGCGCTTGATGCGTTACTGTGTGTCTCTACTATTTACTAATCTACCATAAAAAGCATAAAGATCAAATGCATTTTGCCGTTGGATCAACTCCGTCTTGGATGCAGCCGCATTCTAGCTTCCAATTTGTACACCTAGCCAGTTAGCGTCCTTGAAAAGCGAGAAATGTGGCCCATATCCGAATGACTTGCGGGGCTAGTCGATGTCAAGATCACGTGATTTTTTATCCTTTATCCAGAACAAGGTCATGGAGGCCAATTAAACGAACCCGAGTTAGGGATGGAGCAGACTTAGTTCTGGAAACCCCCCGGGCGACCCACGACAACCCAGGATTTGATCCCCCGCACCGCTTCGCGCGGTGGTGAGGCCTCGTGCCACTTTCCCACTAACACCTCTCGCCCATTGTCATCATCCATTATTTTTATCAATACTTTCAAGATTAATTACGCAGTACACGTTTTGGCCGTATCCTGATCATTATTAGTTGGAGTGAGTCTAGCAGTCGATGCAATATCGAACTGTCCATTGTTTTTTCCTGAACGAGAGGCCATAGTGGTGTCATTTTCGAGTGGGTAATATTGAGGGATCGGGTGTTCGTAGGAGTAGGGAATACCCTTGATCACTTGTTACCAAGTTAAGGGTTTTGGGGCGGGGAGTGAGGTGTGTAGTGAATCGGCGCAACATAACCACTGACCGTTCGTAACCCCACAGAGCGTCAAATAAGACTAAAGAGATTTCCCGAGAAGCTAGGCTGCGTCTCTTGCTCGATGAAACACTTCTGGCCAGGATGTCGATCTGAGTCGTTTGAGCTTGTCGACGACGAGCGTTCAAATTGTTCGATTTGAAACCGGCTGTATGGTAATTTGAAACAGATTGAAAAACTTGCGGATCGCTGGCAGAATTCTATTGACACGTTTTTTGTTCTGAAAGTAGTCGTTTCTAGCTCACAAGAGCTGACTTGAAGAACTTCGAAAATCTTCGTTGCACGCAAACCGATTTTCAGCCGTTAAGATGGGTAAACAGCTTTCAGAAGAATTCAAATAACAACTGTTTTGAAGATTGTCACCAATAATTAGAAGGAAAAGCCTCTAAAACTTCTCTGCAATCATAGGGAAAAGGTGACGTTAAAGTAAAGTCCGACATAGAATGCGACTTGCCCCTCCGGGAGCAAAAGAGTGCTTGGTAAAAGCAGAGGAGTATGAGTAGGGAGTACGGTACTTAATCGCTTGCTATTAGACGACCGGAAATCATAAGGGAAACTCAGGAGTAAGGAACTCCTCCGAAGAAAAAAATTACCACGGATCAAATTAGAATGGGGACAAACGGGGTAGGAAATCGTACCCTACAGCGGAATATTCCCATTCTTTTAATTGGCTGCTTTGGCAGAATAGGTGGATGCCCTCTTAACGTGGCAACAACATCTGCTCTAGCAACGCTTACTTAACTGCTTTATAAAGGTCTTTATTTGATAATATTATGACTTTTGATAAATCGCAGTCAATATATGGTGCCGCCCTAACCTTCGTCGCGTTCCTGTCATAGTTGTATGGATCTCGGTCGGCAAGAAAGCCACTCGGTTCCGTTTCCATTCTCCCAAAATGCTCCACTTGGTTTTTAGCGGGTTCCGTGGATACGGCAGATTCATTTCAAATGACCGCTATCATCAATCAAGTCTGGCACGGAATTGAATTCTGACGAGAAATAAATCTCCTTATTCAAAAATGCCTTTTCAGCAGCTTCAAATGCCGAATTCCAGTGCAGTTACACACGGACAAAAGGTTAGTCCATAGTTTTCCGGAAAAAGAAGGAGAATAAAAAAAGGAGATTTCAGTCGGATGCGTTGGAATTCGACATCAAGAAAGATCCAAGATTGCCCGATTCCCAGCTGACAGTCCAGTTACCGCAGGACCATCCTTCCTATGATCAATTCATCGCCAAAGTCGTCGACATTTCTCCATCCATGTAAGGCTTTACATTTTTGGGACAGCCTCGTGTGTTTCATATTTCGCTCTCATACTTGCATCGTTCAGAGATCCATCAATTCGGGACGTAAATAGGACGTTTCTAACATCGTTGGATGGCTCTGGTACAATTCGCATCCACACACTTCAGCCGGGACACAAATACAGGTAATATGAGTTTCGAGCAGGGTAAACCAAGTGTCGTGAAAATTCGGCAGAAGGATCAGTTCTACTCCCTGATTGGCGTCGCATAAATTACCTTCGTCGGGTCCTACTATCATAAATTTTTCATCTTACCTGAATATATTGGGTCGGTGCATAATATCGTAGCGCTCGCATTCGGCAAAAACGTTTAAAGCAAAACCCAAAAGCAAAGCCAAGCATAAAACTGATCAGTGATGTTCTTCTCGTCATTATTTACGACTTTGGTTCCATTTCGCAAGAAATTACCGGGTTTAGAAATCAAAAAAGGGTACTGAGCCCGTTTTCTAGAATCCTCATTATTTCAATTGTACGACGTGAATATGATTTGAAATTAAGGGTCGACCGGAGTAAGGTTCGATGATGACGAAAAACTCCTATTTTGGCAGCTTTTTTCTCTATATAGATTTTCGCCCACCTTGATTCTCCAACTTCTAAGCGCCATATCTGAGTACACTTACAGTATAGAAGAAAATGCCAAACATGGTATTGTAGAGCAGAAGAAGTACTTTCAAATGATATATGTGTTTCTTGGGTTATACTTGTATTCACTAATTCGTAGCTCGAAAAGAAAAACGCTACGGTATTATGCACCAACCCAATACTTGATTTTTCCGAAAACCTCCACCAAGCGGTACATAGGTACATCACAATAAAACAGGAAAGTTGTTAACTTTGTATTTCCCAGTGTTCCACAAATTCTCTGGACATCGTTCTGTAGATTTTAATTTTTCAATTCGAAGTTAATTGAAGTTGATTAGAGATTCATAAGATTTTATTTCAAACAAATTTAAATTTAACGAGAAAAGTAGGACATAGTCAGGGTATTTATTCACTCTTGCCTCAGCTCTCACTTTTTCTACCTAACATGATGTCAGTTCACTATATTGCAGTCCCTCAACGGTAAGCTGGATATTATCTACTATAAAGCATTGCCAACGTTAGCTATTCTAGTAGTGGGGCCAAAATATGAAAGAATGCACACTTCTATTCGTTCAGGCAATGGGCTATGATTAGTGATCCTCGAATCTAAACGACATTTCAGCGTCGACTAACTTCTGTTCTTTGGCTCGAATTGTTTCACGCCTAGCGTTGCGTTTTGGTGTAAACGAAACGCGCACGACTAAACCTGCGTCGATGCGTAAAATCTATTTGCTGGTATCAAGGAGCGTGACTATGTGTGTCCTCATCTAGCGAAGTATATTTCATGCGTGGACATCATGATGAGGCAGTTCCCTGTATGACTGGCTGGAACAGAAATGTGAATTTCGTGAGTGCAACTTCGTCATTAGATATCACTTTGGTCGAAAGTGCGTTACATTCCCCTAAACCAGGGAGGTGGTGTTGCGTCCTTCAAAGATAAGACGCTTTTTCCCTTGATTCATTGAACAATATGACAACTAGACCATGCCCTTCCGGCAACTCTGTACAATCTGGACGGCTCCCGATCTGGCATGCTAATATAAATCGTAAAATCCTTCTATTTTATAAAGCGCTAACTTTGTGTGTCGGTTTGTGTATCTGTATGTGTGTGTGTGTGTATGTATGTGTGTCCGTCCGCAAAATGAAGTGAGTGAGAAGGAAGCTCATGGGATAAACAAACCGCTAACAAATCGGGTAGCTTACAGGATTTGAGATATCAATGTTTTGTAGCAGGATAGTTGTGATAACACTCTTAGGGCTATATAAACACCTGCTTAGCACACTTCCGTTCATTCCACATGGTGCTGCAGTGGCAGCTGGAGGGCAGTGGAGAGAGGAAGGGAGGATGAGGAAGGGAAGCGAAAAATCTACCGTCATATCATGATTGTGTCCCTTCTACTGTATGAAACACCATTGTGTTGCATACGCGTCACTTCCAGGTGTTGGTGTCACAGGAGGAAGGGACCATAGCGGAGGATAGAAAGCTTGCGCAGGAAAGGAAGGTCCCGGCGGTTGACGGGGGACTAATCTGGTCTGTATAAAATGATACACATTTGCGTAATTGCGAGAAGCCAAAACTTTTGGAACGTTTTGGATTGTGGCTAGAAAGGGCTAGCACTAGGGACTGCAATTCTGCTCTATCTCTTGGTAAACCGAAATGAAAGGGGTAGATGCAAGACGTTCGATAAGGATTCCACAAGTTATCTCTCCTCTCTCGAAAGGCTAGGATTTTGAGTAAAGCGTATCTTCTCAACTGACCAGCTGGAAGACATATACATATACGGTGTAAATGGGTGGGGAGTTTTTTTTTAGTGAACTGCTGATCGGATGCATAAGCAGAAAATGATTGAAAAAATGAAAAATGCGCGAAGGCTTCCCGACAACCTACAGTATGATACCTTCGAATAAAGAAATCAATAGAATCAGAGCGATCAGGTCTTCTTCGTTTTCAGCGGTGTCCAATTGTTGGTCGTCGGAGGAGCGAATCATCAGGTCATCAAAGAAGAGGCAATCACAATGGATCCACGAGTACCACAGTTCACCACGCGGAGCTCCGATATCACTATGCACAATATCACTTTGAGAGCCGTGAAGAATGAAAAGTTTCTCCAGGTATGGGCTCAATTTTCGTTCACCGTTAAGCGATTTATATTAAAAGCCATGGACTGTCAGCAGGAGGATGTGCAATAGCTGCGAGGCAAAGAGGTAATTAGGTGAAGCCGAAATTGGAAATGCGGGGGAAGAAGGGAAGCAGTCTAGTAATTAAAGAAGTTTCCTCTCTGCTTCTCTTTCGCTAACTGCTGGAAGTTTGTGAAAAATCTGTTGCATAAGGAGTGCAGTGGCGTAGCGGCATCTAGCTGTCAGTTCCCGAAAGCAAGGTCCTGGATGAAATCTTTGATCGAATTTCTCCCTGATCAACTAAGACTTCTTCCACTTGGATTCTTTTATTTGGTACCCAACTTCTTGAAAGAAGGACGAATGAAATGTAAAACGCTGCCTCCGTCTTGTTCTAGGCTGAGGCATATTCACGCAAATACGAGTCTGAAATGGAGGGCACTGCGTACTGCTCCCAGGGATCGGTCTGAGCGAGCAGGGTAACCGGTGACCGCTAGGCACTTTTTCAAGAAATTTTGCGAACCCCATCCTGTAGGGGGTCTCGATGCGACCCCACAATCACCGAGGACTCAGGAGGCTCCCCCAATACGACCACCTTTCGTCCTACCCCGACCACCACCCTCGCCATCATGGCTGTTTCCACTGTATTTCATTAGTATAGTGAGGGGATATATTGAGGGAGGGGGGGGGAAATGAATGCGACTCCCCTTCCCGACCCAACCGCAAATGCGACCCCCTCGTTCAAATAGTGCGAACGCACGGTTGACCCTGTAGCCGAGTGAGTAAAATAGCACTTTCAACTCAAATTTTCTCTCTTCATCATGCATCTCTTCATTCTTTCTTCACTGTTAGTTCTTGAAACTGATTCCCAAGCTGTTTCCTTTCAGCAACCTCGTGGAATACCACGCGATTGTTTATTTCACAGTTTTCGTCGTTTTTTCTTTCGTGCGGTTTTCACCCATAGTTTCTGTGCCCCCTTACTCAATTCTTCCTTCCTCTCTGTCTCCTTTCCCTGCTCATTCTCATCACATCAGGGTATCTTTTTATTGCCCTTTTCCTCTCCGCCATTTTGATCTTTCTTTGGTTCTTGCACATTTTTCTGCTTATATTTACGGAGTTTTCTCTCGGTGTTTGGTTTGCTTCGTACTATACATACTTTTTCATTATTTTGCCCACTACGTATGAGTTTCTTTTTCTACACCTCTTCCTCGTAACGTCTGATTCTCCCTATTCCATTGCTTGCTTGTTCTTTTCCTCTGTTATCTACCTCTTTTCCGAGATTTTTCTTCGTTCAAACACTGGTTCTTTTTCTTGCTGAACTCCAGCTTGTCTTTCTTTTTTTTCTGGTTTCCGTTGGCAAATTTTACCCCTACGTTTTTTTGGATTATATTGATGGTATTTTTAAATTGCTCCCACATTGAAGGAATCGAACCCCAAAAGCTTGTCGTGCACTTTTCCCGCTCAGTATGTCATGTCTCGCCAAACGCTCCATGCATGAGAATTCAGTTGCCCAATAGAGAAAAACCTTTCCAAAGCGCATTTTGTGGTCACCAACACATGCAAATTTAAAGGATTTGTCCCAACTATTCGCGAAACATAGCTTACGCCCGCTGGGCACATACTAGGATACGATTGTACACGAGCGATGGTAGATGTGGCGGGACATTACAAGAGTAGGGTGGCGACTTTGTAGAAAGGAATGAAATCTTTTGACGTTGTTAGAACAAACCGTTCGAAGGAGTTGCGGATACCATGGGGACGAGTGGGAAACTTACACAGTGGATTGGGTAGGAGACCTACTTCTAGCTGATTATTAACACCTCAGGGGTGTGGGCGTCTTATCAATGGCGTGATAAGGCGCTTGAACTTCAGGAACACAGCACTACCGTTTCGAAAGTGGGAGGGTTAGCAGTGGTCAGCGTACTTAATATGATACGTTAGTGATCTGCCGATTTCACTCTGGTGCGCACGACTCAATTGCGAGCGGCCGTATTTCTATCCTAGTCGTACCACGTCTTTCATGGAGCTCATTCCAGTCCGTTTAAAATGTGTCTCCCGTTGAGTACGTGTCAATGGTGCAACAACAATCTTCCTTTCACCCTCCAAAGCCAGCGCGAATTGCGCTAAGATGCAATATAGAGTGAAAGTTTCTGCCATAGTAGGAGGCCTAAGAATGCTCCCGTTCACGGCGTCGAAAAACCCAATAGAAGCGATCCTCGCGCCAAGCAGCTGTAACAGTCGCCTCTCACGATCTGAACCAGTAAAATAGCTTTTCCCAATTTTTCGGATCGTTTACCAAGACGAAAGTTCTCAATCTTTTCGTTGGGAATTAGTCTCAATCACCAGTTTATGAGGAAAATAGGTAGATACGTTTTCCGTCAATGATTCCCGTAAGGTTGAGATGTGATGAATCTTCTAGAGATGCGCACGTGATCAATGCAAACTTGCACCGCTTTCAAAACTTCATTCGGCCTGCGCAACTTTTTCTCGGGGTCGGGTGATACGCAAATCAGTTTTTATCCTCCCTGTCTACCAATATCAGCTTCGAAGGTCTTTCAGGAAATGCCCAGCTTTCTCGAAACGGTTTTTTGCATGATGTAGGGTACCTGCATGGAACACAGAACTGTAGTTCATTTTTCCTGAGCGGCCTCTGAATACAAAAAAAGGGGTGATTGAAGTGGTCCGTGGCTCTCGCAGTTACTCTCGCAGTGACAATTTTTTGCATTTTGTGTTGGCGTTTCAAAAGTTCGCGAAAATAACATCAGCGTAAACAACTCATGTCATATCTGTAATTAGGACCATCAGCAATTTATCTATAGACTTTGGCTAAAAAAACTTGTGAAGAAAGTTAAGAACGTTCCTTGAAATTTTTTTGCTCTCCTTTTTCGGTATTCAGAGGGTCACTCAGGAAAAATGAATAACAGTTCTATGTTCCATGCACGTACCTCCCATATCATGCAAAAAACCGTTTACGAGAAAGCTGGGCATTTCCTGGAAGACCTCCTTAGTTGTGAATTATGCTCAGTTAGGAATTCAGCTTGTAGTTGTCCCTGATAAGAAACGACTTCATAACACTGCGTGCCCCTGTCTGTCTTCGAACATGGTGGGGCAGGCACAGAATTAGAAGATCAGATAGTCAGGGTTGCACTCTGAATTAGCCTCGCATTTGCACACGAAAGCACAAACAAGATCTGTATCAGTTTTCCCTTTATACTTTTTGCCAGCTGTTGCTTTAGTAGGAATCTCTTCGTGGGTTCTTTGGATATGCTTAATTTGCTGACGTTTAGGCGACTCTGCTCTCTCAAAACCTAAAGAACACGAGAATTCTGACACTGATCCATCTCTTCTCTAGCCTGCCGTTCAAGTTCGAGATCAACCATGTCATTAAGAATTTACATGGCACCTTCGCAACTCATTTGGCCGCGGAAACCACCCATAGGCAAGCTATGGAACCCCTAATAAGTCGGACTGTTCACAAATTGAAATAACCATGGGAAACCTTGTTGATGCTCAACGAATAGCTCCACATTTAGCACTGCTCCTCTAAAGTTTTACCTAAAAATTACTTCTTTTTCCAATTTTTCGAATTCGTGAGTTTCAGGATTTCAATATAATTTCTCAGGAGACAACTAGTTAGATTTCTGTGTCTAGTTTGCTTCTGTGTCCATTCACCCATTCCAAGTTTATGTATTTCAGGACTCATTCTTGATAGAGTATCGGCAGATAGAACCAGAGCAAAGCTACCCTGTTCTGGAAGTGCTCGATATTCCCGATCAGAAAAATCTTGAAGTTTACCTAGGTCAGTGAAAAGTTGCTAAAAAACAAGGCGAAAGCCACTAAAGAACATGTCACGATTGCAGGTAATCTCAATCCAGGACGGGATTATGCTGTGCAAGTGGTAGGAGTGAAGTCGGGATTGAAAAGTCGGGCGTGGTCAACGACGATTTCCACTAGTAAGTTATAGTACTCAAGCTTTTTACATTTCTTTCTTGGGAAGCTCCCAATTGAAAATCATCTCTCAGAACCAAGTGCTGTATCTGGTCTTCAACGTAGCCGAAAACGGTAGCTGTTTGAGTGTGGATTGGGAGGTTTCACCCAACAGTGGAGCCGACTCGTTCCTTATTCGATACCGACAACAGAGCGCCAACTTGAACTTATCGGTCAGTCTCTGCTTTGTCTGGATCCTAATAATGAAAAACGGCCTCCATTCCAGGTCACCCTCCCAGGAGAGGATCGATCTGTCCACCTCTGCGACGGCATCATGCCCGGCACAGTGTACGTAATTGGTGTGGCAGCGAAGAAAGGGAAAAGCGTATCAGAGGAGACAATTGAGTCCTACACCGTTCGACCATCCAGTCCCACAGATTTCCGGGTCAGTATCCCTTGAAACTGAATCTACCAAAACGCTGAGTATTAGACCAAGTTGTCAGCCAAAAGTACTAATGGTCGGGTATTGGGGGTAGGGAGTCGTATCTGACCTCCTTCTGAGAGTGTGTATTCAATGAAGTTGCCATCGCATTATCGGGAGAGTAGGGGGATCTTTCAGGGACTCAAGAATATTTCCGAATTCTGGTGAAATTGTTTCTATTGTTGTGTCCCTTCCACCCCATACCCACCCCCCCCCCCCCCTTCTCCGGCGAAATTTTCGGGAAACTGAAAGATGATGGGGAAGAGTGAGAGCAGTAAAGAGGAACTCTTAATGCATAAAGCTGACCTGAAGGACCATTTATAGTGAAAGCCATCTCCGATGCTTTCCTATCAGTACCGCCCATACGGGGCTAACTCTCGTCAACTCCACAAACGACAACCATCCTTCAAAAAATCAATCACAGTTACAACCCCCTCGTCTGATCCGATGAAACGGACGCTCGGCCCTGCTTCCATATCGTGCACATTTAACGCAAATTTTCCTTCAGATTTTTCCCGATATCACGAAAGGGAAGTATCGACTGACATTCGATCTGCCACTCAACTCGAACTATGACGGTTGTCACGTATCGGTAGTGAGCGAAACGCTGGAAACCCTCGAAGATGATGGAGAAGTGGATGAGAAGGAGGGCAATAAAAGGTATTTCCGAAACTAACCTGAAAATGATTCCCCTGTAGGTGAGCAGTTGAACAAAGAGTTCCTAAGATCAAAAATATTTTTGAAAAACACGCCACCCAATTTCTAAAGGAAAAGTTTAAAAGCAAAAAGACAAAAGATGGGAAAATTAAACAAGAGAACGAAGTAGAAAGGCAGGAAAAAGGAAAATCAAGGATAAAAAACCAGCGAGTTATGTAGTCCCTGCTTGGGATGCACTACGCATTCCACTCGCATTCAGAATCGCAATGGTGTTCACAGGGAGATGTGCTCACAATCACTTGTTGAGGCCGTAAAATTCAATATCCCTGTCCTCTAAGGGGAGAACAAGAAGCCGAAGGGATGGAACGGTTGGTTAGTTTGGGCGCTATACTACCTAGAACTTGATCCTGGGTCCGTGCAAATGTAAGTTACTCCTCTTACCGTGCACCGTCTCCTGAGGCGATCGTAAGGGTACTCATAGGATGCTTCGAACTGCATAACTTCCACGAGCGGGTGCTGGTAACGTTTCCATTCATCAGTGCTGCGCACCAGACTACTTCGAAACCACGGGTCGGGTTTGGGCGTCAAGAAAGAGTCCCTTTTAGAGTTACAAGGAGGAGTCCCCAAGCGCAGGAGGCGCGACAATGTCGCGACTAAGAAGTATGAGGCAACGGCGTTAGGGTCTTGCTTTGTATGCTGCCGGACTGCTATCTTTATCAATCGCGGCATCGTGGCATCTGCACCCTCTCACCTGCGCCCATCTGTGTAGGGCGTACTCTCTCC